TGGGTCCAAGGAGTTACAATCTGGATGGTCCCACTCCAACCACCAGGTACACTGGCACTTGGATCTCTAAGGAGGTGCTAATCTAGCCTCTACCTGAGGCTACCCCGCAGGAGCTCAGCTGTGAAGCAATGCAAGTTGCCATGGGGCCTTGGGCCAGCTACAGTTTGTTAGGTAATTTTCAGATTGCAAAGGGCCAGGCCATTCTTATGCAAAAGACTTCATGCACAGTGTGGGCGGTATTGGGCCCCATGCGATCAACAGGGCAGAGCAAGCAGTTATGGCTGATCCTCAGGCCAGCCCTAAGAGGCCCCGTGTCTCAGTGTCCTGAGGTAATCGCTGCCAGCACTTCTGAGAGAAAGCCGCCCTCGAGCCGCGCCTGATGCCAGACAGTCCAGTTTCTCCCCGTATGAGTCTGGGTCCCCAGAGACTCTCCAAGAACTGGAGTTCAGAGCCATCCGGAGCTTGAGACTCCCTCCTGATTGAAAAAGACAACCTCGTCCTAAGTTGCCAACCCTTTCTGCGCACCTCCATACCACTGCACTTTACTTCCGTACCTCCTCTGAGTCTCAGTGTGCTTTTCTCTGTCCTTCTAGTTGTAGAATTTCCACTCAGCCAGCCTTCCTGTGGTTCTGGATGATGTCTTTTAGTTGTATTTTTGAAGTGATTGTGCAAGGCAGCAATTTCCGGTATTTACCTACGCCACCATCTTGGTTTCCCTCCTATAGCATTATCTTCCACATTTAAAATATAAAATAATTGAGATGTATAATGATAAACAGTGCAAACTGTCAGCAACCAGTGCTGCTTAGGAGCTTTAACCTGTTCTCAGAATCTGATAAACTACTAAACCCCAGTCTCTTCTGCTAACACAGCAAAGAAAATACAACTTCTTCGAACTCCTTATCTCAGAGCCCTAACATTCTCAATCATGGTGCTCAGTTTTGTTAGAAGCTGAGAAACCCAGAACATAATGTTTAATATAATTAATAGATGCAAACCATTTTCCCCTAGGACAATATCATATAAAGTACACTTGTGTCTTTAAAAAGATGACTAATTCAAAAATATTAATCACATGTAGGTACAGAAGGGGAAACACACGGTTTTGTCCAAGGGTCTGTCTAATTACTGAGTCTCTATCATGAATATTTAGTCTATGATTCTTTGTCATTCATCATAAACTTCTGCACAGGGATATGTGCCCTACAATGCCAGTTCCTAATTCCCTTTTCTAGTTACATAGTGAAGATGGAAGAACAAAGATGATGCTATAGCAATAGCAGGCAAGGAATTGTCTAGGGATCCCTAATGAACCAATTGATCAACCAAATATTAAATATGACAAACTGTAAGCATTCCTATTACAAAAAATTTCTTTTTGTGTGAAGTTGACAAAATCTTTGACCTGGTATGGTTACTTTGCTTTGAACAAACTCAAAAGTGAGGAAATTAATCCATAAATCCCACCAATAAAAAATAGGTTAGGTAGGAGAACTAACATAATTATTTAGGCAATTCTTTTCTAAAAAAAGATCTCTGTGTACTAATACCAATCTTTGCCCTACCTACAATGAGATGCTATGAGGAGGCTGGTTGGTCTCCTGACAGCCTTGATCAGTACTGACATTTGTGGTCCTTAAGGTAGTATATGTTAGGCAGGGATAGACTATTGAGGGTGATGGGGCACACCACCTCTACTAACTGCAAAAATACTTGTGGATTGCTTGGCCTATTGATGTATTAGGTCATAACTCTTGAAGGATGACAGATTGAGCTCCCAGATACTTCTCGTGTATTTTCCTGTCCCTGTGCCAGTTGTGGGTTTCCATTAGAAGACCAAGGAAACTGTAACTCAGCCCACAATTAGAAGAGCTGTAGGTCAATGTTTTAGTTGACATTTTCCTACGCTGTACCCCTGAAATAAATTTCATCATTAGTAACAGCAGGAGTAGATTTTCTTCTTCCATCTGTTTAGGGCATCTTTGATTTCCTTGTTCCTCAGGCTGTAGATCAATGGATTTAGCATCGGGATTACAATAGTGTATAATACTGATGCCAACTTACTTTGGCTCAGAGAATCGCCAGAATTAGGATACAGATAAACAAAGGTACTAGAACCAAAGAAGAGGGTCACTGCGGTCAGGTGAGAAGCACAGGGGCTGAAGGCTTTG